ATGTATATACATTTCTAAATGTATATTAAACAGCATATTAAAAATAATTCATCATTTGCAAAGAGCTTTGAAATTATGCAGCTTGGTGTGCAGGAAAAGTTCTTTCAAATTATTGTTATTATTATTATTCTGTTGAACACAAAAAAAGATATTTTGAAGAATGTTGAAAACTGGTAAGCATTGAGATCAACCATAACAAATACTTTAGAAGTCAATGGTTATTTGGTTGTGGATTACATCTACTTGTAATCAATTTATTGTGAATAAATGGGTAAAAATGTTTGCAGACCGAACATTACTTAAATCACTCAAACTCATTGGTCATGTCTGCTGTTTCCCATCATCATCTCTCCAGATTTCGTGATGATCACGGTGTGGGTGGTTCTGGGGGTTTCGGGGATCATTGTGCAGCTCTATCGAGAAAAGTCTCGCCCATTTTTCCCACCAAGCCCGTATGTGTTGTGGAGGCAGGAGCGAGAACGCCGGAAAACCAACGTTCTGGATCCCAGCTACCACAAACCATCATTACCAGCCCAAATAATGGGACGTATCCGTCAACTTACACGCCGTGCAGAACCGGCCGGAGAAACCACACCGCTCCTGCTTTAACATTTGACTCTATATGAAGAGTTTAGATGCAGAAACCTCGAGATTTTCTGCTAATATGAGCATTTTCTCCATCTCTTGTGTTTAGGCTCGGTCATTTTACTCTTATAGTGATGGATAAGTTCATTGCCTTTCAATGAAATAACATAGAAATGCTCATTTTAAAAGAACATTTCAGAGATTTTTGCGTCTGAACTCTTCATATACAAGTCTGTAGTGTGAAATATGAGGACTGAGCTCGATTTTATAGAGCCTGGAGACTCGGACACGGCAATGAGAAAGGTTGCAAAACTCAAACACACACACAACACTAATGATAATGTGCACTGGTGTGTGTTTTGTGTGTTTTTTTCCCAGTGCTTGATCACATTTAGTCTCATTAAAGGGGTAGTTCACGCAAAAATGAACATTCTGCCATCATTTACCCTCCCTTTATTTGCTCTAAAGTTCTTCTGTTGAGCTCAAACGAAGATATCTTGAAGAATGCTGCAAACCTGTACTTGACTTGCTTAGTTGTTTCTGCTATGGAAAGGTCAATGGTTACAGGTTTTAAACATTCTTCAAAATATCTACTTTTTGTGTTTACCACTTAAGGGAGAGTAAATAGTAAGGAAATAAAATATTTCTGGGTGAACTATCCCTTTAATCAGAACTTGAGCACATTGCTGAACTCACGTTTAGTCTCATTTAGGGGTTAGTTCACGCAGAAATGAACATTCTGCTATCATTTACTCTGGTAAAGCAGTTTGAGTTTCTTCTGTTGAGCTCAAACGAAGATATCTTGAAGAATGCTGCAAACCTGTACTTGACTTGCTTAGCTGTTTCGGCTATGGAAAAGCCAATGGTTACAGGTTTTTAGCATTCTTCAAATAATCTACTTTTTGTGTTTACCACTTAAGGGAGAGTAAATAGTGAGGAAATAAAATATTTCTGGGTGAACTATCCCTTTAATCAGAACTTGAGCACATTGCTGAACTCACGTTTAGTCTCATTTAGGGGTTAGTTCACGCAGAAATGAACATTCTGCCATCATTTACTCTTGTAAAGCAGTTTGAGTTTCTTCTGTTGAACTCAAAAGAAGATATTTTGAAGAATGTTTGAAGAAACCTGTAGTTTTTCCTTCTATGGAAGTCAATGGTTACAGGTTTTCTAACACCCTTCAAAAGATTTACTTTTGTGTTTACCACTTAAAAGAGAGTCAATAGTTCTTCTTTTTTGGGTGAACGATCCACTTGAAGCTACTGACCTCCAGCATATTTAGCATAAACCTGATTTTAGATGCATTTTAGCATGTTTTGAGAGACGATAGACATGGTAGACGTGCCACTTTTTTAAAACTGTTTTGTCCTATTTTTAATTGCATCTGGTTAATATAACCGCACCACCATGTGCCTGTCAGAGTGAGTTTGTTTTTAAAGACACCCAGTTTACCATTGAAATGAATGTATAACACACTGCCACTGCAGACCGAATGAACCAGTGTTCATTAATAGCCACTGTAAGCCTCTACGGCTGATTTATGTGTGTTTTACCTACGACGAAGCGATTAATTATTTCCAGATGATGGAAGTAATGAGCTTATTTTGACTGCGTTCCTGTGGGGATGTGATTGCTGCTTCACTTCATTTGTGTAAAGCACTTGTTAATGCGGATTTTAAATGTAACATTGAGTTAATAAATGCTTTATAAATGGACATGTAGCTCTTATTGAGACGCAAAGCTTACAGACCGCAGCTCTGTGAACTTACGGTCAACTTCTGATCTCCTCTCAGGGTTTCTTCTTGTGATTTGTCTTTTTTTTTTTTTTGTATCTCTCACAGAAGCAAACTTCTTACTTGTGTTGTAAAGCATTTAAAACGTGCTTTACTGTCTATGATGTTTTTAAACGGTAGCCGCGTGTATTATTATGTCTGTTTTGTATAAAATTAAATGCTTAATAAAGTTGTAATTCGTGCCACAACACCTAAATGATGTACTTTTCTTATTTAAAGTAGTTTTCCATTTTGAGATCACATACTTTTATTGAATGAAAAATCTTCTAGTGCAGGCTGTCATATATCGTTGGGCTATTAATTATGCTTTGTTGCCTTTAAAAGTAGTTGTCATTTTAATGAAACAATGGCGTAGATTTAAATAACACAGTACATTTTTAATGCATTTTCTGTGTTCATCTGAATTTCCAGTTTAGTTTTTCCATTCTATTAATATATATATATATATATATATATATATATATATATATATATATATATATATATATATATATATATATATATATATAAATAATTATTAATATATATGTGTGTGTATGTGTGTGTATATATATATTAATATTAATAATATATTTAATATTAATAATAATATATATATATATATATATATATATATATATATATATACAATAGTTATTTTATTTGTAGTTTTATATTTGAATTTTACTTAATTCTAGTAATTTTATATTATAAATCTGTTTATATATGCGTAAACTATAGTTATTTTATTTGTAGTTTTATTACACTCTTTCTATCAGTGTAAATAGCATATGCAATGCGTTTGTGCATAGCGTGAACATTTTTGGTGAAGCAAAATATTAAATTAGACAAAAAAAAAAAGTCATGCAGCATTTTATCTTTAAAAATGAACGTATGAAATTGGAAAATGCTGCAAATTTCATCCGTTTTTACAGTGTTTTTTTCATAATAACAAGTACTGCTGGATATTTGAATACGCTACATTTCAGGTATATTTTGTCCCATTCGTCCTGCAAACAAGTCTTAAGGTGGGCAACAGTAGGGGTGCCGTACCCAATGCACCACACATTCTCTATTGGAGACAGGTGGGGACTGCAGGCAGGCCAGTCATTTAACTGTATCCTCTTCCTCCACTGCTGGATTTTGTAATGTGTGCAGAATGGGATTTTGCATCGTATTGTTGAAATATGCATGGAAAGAGGCAGCATATTGTGCTCCAAAATCTCTGTACTGTTCAGCATTAATGGAGCATCAGAAAGTTACCTCAGTGAAAGTTAAATCAGTGCAAGTTACCTTTGCCAAGGGCACTGACACAACCCCATACTGTGACAGACCCTGGCTTTTGGACTTGCATTTAAACAATTTACTTGATTAAATAAACATGTCCTGCTGTATGTTTGAATATGCTAAATTTCAGGTGTAATTTTGTCCCATTCTTCCTGCAAACAAGTCTTAAGGTGGGCAACAGTACGGGGTCTTCGTTGCTGCATTTTGCGCTTCGAAATGTACCACACATTCCCTATTGGGGACAGGTCGGGACTGTTGGCAGGCCAGTCCAGTACATGCATCCTCTTCCGCCACAGCCAGGATTTTGTAATGTGTGCAGAATGTGGTTTTGCATCATATTGTTGGAATATGCATGGAAAGAGGCAGCATATTGTGCACCAAAATCTCTCTTACTTTTTAGCATTAATGAAGCATCACAGAAGCACAGGTTACCTTTGCCAAGGGCACTGACACAACCACATACCGTGACAGACTCTGACTTTTGGACTTGCATTTAACCAATTTACAAGATTAAATAAACAAGCCCTGCTGAATATTTGAATACACTAAATTTACTTTGTAAACTTGTCTTATTTAAATATGCACGAGCGTCCCTGGAAAAGAAGGCAGCATATTGTGCTCCAAAATCTCTCTTACTGTTCAGCATTGATGGAGCATCACAGAAGCGCAAGTTACCTGACACGACCCATACCATGACAGACCCTGGCTCTTGGACTTGTATGTAACCAATGTACTTGATTAAATAAACATGCACTGCTGGATATTTGAATACGCTAAATTACGTAAACCCCATTGAAGTCAATGAGCCCATGCAACGAAAGATAACGGCAGCTGTTAGTTCAACATTTTTAATAGTTCACTTTCAATGCTACCTCCTCTCACACTCGCATAAAACACTGTTACAAACACAACAAGCAAAGCAACAACACGAGCGGTTTCTTTAAAATGGCACATCGTGACGTTCCCTTCACAAAGTCTCCTGTTCAGGTAAAGTAATCATTCACAATCGGCTAATAATTCCTCAAATGATTGTTTTCATGTGGCTGAATCAGTCAGCGTGGTCATGTGACGTTCCCAGACAGAAGCAGTGAGGATGAAGAGATGGAAAAGTCATCAAATCCCAGTGTTTGAGAGATGCCGTCATGACAAATGGCTGACGGTGAGTGTGTGTGAAACTGTACTGGTGGGTTGTGGGATGTGTACACTGTAAACAAATATCCGTAAATTAGCAGTTTTACATATTTTGTGATGCATGTTTTTATTTTTCCCCATTTATTTATGATTGTGACTTGCATTATGGGATCTTCATCTTTCTTGCAGCAACTTTTAATCTTGAACAGTTTGTAAAAGTGACTTTTATGAACATTTGTAATAGTTTGCAGTGCTATATTGTCTGTGTTGGTGTTGTATATTAGGCTACAAAAGCCTTGTAATACACCGCCAGTACATTTACTGTTATTTTACACACTTATTTCTCTATATCATACGACTAAAATGTCAATAAATGCCCCTTTGTTAACGTAGAGTTGAATTGTCGACACAGCAGAGATCAACATCCCACAATGCAATTCACAAGCATAAAGCTGTTGGTTATCGGATATTGTCTGCAGTGTAGAGCAGCTCTGAATGCTGGTTTTGTCTTCAGCTCTTCCTCAGGCTGATGTCTGTGCTGGTGAGCAGCGGCGACAGAGATGTGCTGTCTGATGTATCGTCTCTCTTCAGCAGCAGAAACGCTTCTCGACTGATTCCCAGGAGCTCTCGCAGGCCACTGTTCTCCAGCTGCACACACAAACACACATTCAGGTATTATTATTAACCATAACATCACAACTACATGTGCGACGTATAAGGCTGAGCGGTATGTTTTAGCCTCTAAGTCCTAATTTGCTGCTTACTAATAGTTAATAAGGTAGGATTAGAGGTGTAGAATAAAATATGTGCTTTATTGTACTGTTTAAATGGCCAATATTTTAATAATAGGCAAGTAATAAGACACTAGTTATTACTAGTTATCACAAAGCTAATAATTTTGATCTTAAAATGTTGTTTAAAAAATTAATAACTGCTTTTATTCTAGCCGAAATAAAACAAATAAGACTTTCTCCAGAAGAAAAAATATTATCAGACATACTGTGAAAATTTCCTTGCTCTGTTAAATATCTTTTGGGAAATATTAAAAAAAGAAAAATTATTAATTCTGACTTCGCAACTCAAACATGTTTACAGTTCTCAAATTTTCACCACATGCAGGTTAACAGAAATATTTAATATTCTTTTTAGTCAATTTATTATACATGATTTTGATTATTAAATTTTTTTTAACTTGACTCACTAAAACAAACAAAAAAAAACTACATATATAGAATATTTAAAACTAAAATTAAAACTCGCCTTTAACCAGGCAAAGAACTTTAACTATATTGTACATTTTATTTCCGTAATAAAAGTTAATTGTAATAACCCTCAGTTTTTGCAATGAGTATTTTAATGAGCGTCCTAAAAAAGGCTAGACAATCTAAAACTAAAACCAAATGCAAACAATTAAACAGCATTTCAATTATACTAAAATAGTAATAAATACTAAACAACAGTGTCCGTTCTCAAACACGTCATATTTATCAAGTTAATATTTTTCTATAAACATTGCATAAGATAATCAGGTAACACCTCAGAAAAATGGCCTATTAGTCAATGCAGTTACTAATATTACATAACTATGAACACTCTTGTAAAGCATTAATTAATAAAAGCTCAACATTCACTAATGGACAACTAAAATCCAAAGTTAACAAGTGCACTAATGATCTTACCTTGATTGACATTGACAAAGATGAATGAATACAGTAATAAATGCATTAATAATTATTTATTTATGTTAGTAAACACATTATCTACTAATGGACCATTATTTTAAAGTGTTACCAGATAATCAAGTGGTTATGATCTCATAAATCTCATTATTGTGAAATGAAACGACTCATATTGGGAACTTTTAGTCATATCACTCCAGTTACTGTGATTTATACTGAAGCGTGTGTCACCTCCAGGCGTTTGATTCTCTCCTCATCCTCACACAGTCGTCCTTCATCAACTTCGATGGCTTTCCTCATCACCGTGGCCATTTCGTTGATTTTTTCGATGTGCGCTTGCATCTCCTGTGACGTAAACACCGTAACAGTTAACACCTACACAATATATTGTTTCAGCATTGATATTGCAACGAGTGAATCTGCAAAAGTAGGATCTGCAGTGTGCAGTTGGCATTATAAATGACGAGACGCCTACAGTTCAGATCATAGTGGAGTCATTTTAGATTTTAACCTATTATTATTTATTATTTGCATGTATATATTATTGTGTGCATATTCTTTGCAAGCCAATTTGTGCACAATAAATTCAATGTTTGTAGCTTAGATTAATTGTATATAATTATTCACAAAATGAGCGTTATTGTGTTGGCTTGAGAAAGCCAACATGCTGTTATGCTACTCTGTCCTTGAAAACAAACGTATCTCCTCCAAGGCCGTTCATGCCACAAGGCCCAAATGTGGTCTAAATGTGCCTTCTGCATTCAAGATTGTTGCTATATCTCCTCATGCCTGTTAGACTTATCATTTTTTTTAAATAAAAAATGTTAAATATTATATTTTTATAATCCGGGCATATAAAAAAATTATACAAGCCCCAAATTTGGCCAAAAGCTGTATTTAGATGCGTTAGATTTTGTTGCTATATCTTTAAGGTTTATCAGATTTATAGTTTTTCAATAAATAATTTTTAAGCATTATTTTTCTCAAAATATGGCAAGCCATTTTTGACTTAAACTCCATATTTGTTACTGATATGGCAAGCCATTTTTGCATGTATCACCTTCACAATTATTAAGTGTTGTATTTTCAAAAAAATACAGCAAGCCATTTTTACATAATGTTCATTCCCTTAGTCCCTTTATTAATCAGGGGTCGCCACAACGGAATGAACCGCCAACTTATCCAGCATTTGTTTTACACAGCGAATGCCCTTCCAGCCGCAACCCAACACCAGGAATACATAATGTTTAAGTCCAGTTTTTGACACTCATAAAGACTGTCATAGAAACATCGGGGTTGATTAAGATCACTCATATTGCCAAGAAGCTTTGATGTATCATCACTAACCTGTCAAATGTCCCCATAGCATTAAAACAGTATAACCTAGCAACCATTTAAAAATAGCAATATCTCTACATCAGAACATCGTAGAGACTTGGGCATTGGCTTGTTTGACTCATTCTAGCAAATGGGACTTCCTGTGTACTATGCATGGTAACAATGATAATGGAAGCCAAGTGCTTATAACGATTAGCTACATGCTATGAATGATTATCTAAATGCAATAACATATGCTAGAAATGCCTACTAAGTATTAGCATTTGATCAAACATGTACACGAGCATTGCCATTTAGCAACTGCTCAGCAACCACGTAACAATGCCATAAACGTTTGACTTTCTCAAGCCAACATCAAAGTTTATCAATGAACTTTAGGTTCTAGTTTTACATTACACTTTTCCAGCTGCATTTTCAAGCCATGCACAAGTGTGGCAAATTTGCAGGCTTTAATCACATTATATCAGCTGCTTTCTGTTATAGTATAGTGTGGTATTCTAAGAAATGGCATGTTTGCACCGAGCCTAATATCGAAAAACTGATTTACTCTTTGTAATATTAATTTTAATTCATTTAAAGTGAGTTATTATTACCCATTTATTATTATGCAAGTGGCACAATTACATTTGCAAGCACTTTACCTAAAATCTAAGCACTTTTTAAACCTTTGAAAACACTATAGATTAAAAAAACTGAAGTTTTTCAAGGATTTCCAGTATGATTCCTGAGACTATTTGTGTAGCAGCTTTTTAATAGTGAATTTCAGTGTGTGCGTGGGGGACTGACGTTCGTGTGCTGTTCTCTGAGCTGCGTGACGATGGTGGGATCCTCTTTTTTGCTGGCCATCAGAAGTCGAAACACTTGCTCTCTGTATTTGCTCATGATCAGCTCCAGCGCAGACTGATGCTCCTCCAGAGACGTGTGCAGCTCTGCACAGAGACTGGGCTTTAAAAACAGGCCTCAAATAGCATGCAGGAAAAAAAAAAACACCAAGCACACACCTTTGTTTTCTTGCTGCAGTTCCCGTATTTGCCGGTTTTCCTGTTGGATGCCCATGACTAGTGTTGAGCGTGGCCGATGCCTCGCAACCTGGTTTAACACCTCGATCTCTTCCTGATACTGAGATCACAACAAACGATTGAACAAAAAATAAACAAACAAGGATACACCGACAAATACACTATTCAATTTAGGGTAAGCTGTGACTGCCTGAGATTAAACATACAAAATGTAGCAGAGATTTAGGTTTATTACTGAGATATATTTAGTTTTATATTTGCATGTTTGTTTGTTTTTTGCAGCCCCTATATTGTTTTTAGCATGCTACTGTAATGGAGGCCAGCCAGTAGGTGCTGTGCAGGTTAACCTCACTCCTCTGAGCTCTAAAGGTGCTCTAGTGACAGACGCTAGAGGCCATGGTCTTTAGCCTCCTTGAAAGAGCAACTGACTGGGGAAGGTCGCCGGTTCAATACTAGCTTGGAGCGGGTTGGGTGATGTAATACTGGTGTGGTTACATTGGTGCCGTGACCCGGATGGGAGTGAGGTTTAGGGGGGGTGAGTGTAGTAACGGAGGCCAGCCAGTAGGAGCTGTGACGTCAGGCGTTGCCGAACTGTATTGTGGATCCGTCGGCGCCGTTTCAGAGGTGTTGCTCGCTGCAGAAGTTGGGACTAGCTCAACTTTTCAAGCACTGACAGAAGCGTCAGCCAATCAGATTGCTGTATGCAAATACACCAGCTAGACAGTGGCCTATTGCTGATTGAATTTCATTGGCTGACGCTGCTATGACAATCGCGTCAGCCCCAACTTCAGACACGCCTTCAGTCAAGCGTTGACGCTGAAGCCCTGTGTGAACGGGGCTTAAAGGTGCTCTAGCGGCAGACACTAGAGGCCATGGTCTTTACCCTCCTTGGTAGAGCAACCGACTCCCATGCAAAAGGTCACCGGGTCGATACCAGCTTAGAATGGGTTGGGTGGCGCAGGACCGGCGGGGTTACACTACTTATAATATTCGGTCTGAAATCGTATATTAGTACGAGTTCAAAACAACATTAGCACCATTTGATCAACTGTGAATAGTGTTGTGCTTTGATAATCATTGGCTGATAATAAGATTTCCATATTTACAGTTTGCAAATAATACTGTTCTGAAATGATGACGGTGAACCTGCAAATAGATTGAATCATATTAAACAGTGCTAATGTTGTTCTGAAGTCATACTTGCATGCAGTTTCTGACCGAATATTCAGTGTAGCATGTTAAACAATACAGAGGCCGTATCACTGAACAAATGTGTGAATATAAAACAAACTTAACGTCAGTGTAAAAGAGAGTATTTGACCTGTTTCATGGCCTCCACTCTCTTGTTGAGCAGTGTGGTTTGTTCAATCAGGATCTCTGCAGCACTGTCATGATCCCGGAGTCTCTCCACCAGTGATTTGGCATCAGCCAGAACCTTCTCTAATGTGCAGGTCATTCCTGAAGATAACAACTCGATTATTATTATGGTAATAAACACCCAAATATATATCGTTCCAGCATCGATATCTGTAATAGTCACATCATAGGATCTGCAATGTCTAGTTGGGATTTTAATAACCAGGAACCACAGAGGATTTGTGGAGTGACTGACAAGTTGAACTCTAATCTAATAACGTAAAAGAGTTTTATTTGTATGTGTATTTTAAGACCTGTGACTGTAAGATTACAAGTTAATTTAAACCATTTGGCCACAAGAAATGTTTAAATTTACTGCTTTAACGAAGATTAATTGGGTTTAAATATTTTTTTTTTCAGATTTATTTACAAATATATGTAAACCAATCATCAAATCATAGTGTACCAACATTAACAAAGATTTTTACTCAACCAAGAGCAAACAAAGAAAGAAAAAAGCCCAATATTAGAGATAATAAATAAATAAATAAATATAAAGCATGCAACTACGAAATGGAAGGTAGATACACCAGAAAAAGGCATTACATTTCTTTTTAAAAGTCCTTGTTTTTTGGGGTTATATGTGCTTTATTAACAAAAACCAGCTTGTACAGTTTCATTATACAACAAAATCACTTCACATTCCCTAACAAGGATTAAATGAGAGAAGAAAAAAGTAAATTAAAGAAAATAATAATAAAAAAAAGAGGAGAGGTAATCCTTAATTATCAAATTACATACAAATATACACACATTTTTTTTTTCAAATTTAGTTATTAACCAAAGTTATTAAACGCACTTTTAGTGAAGAAAATGCATGTATACAAATATTTTATGCAAAAATGTTAAAGGAGAAGCATATCTTAACCATTAAACATGCATTTTAATCTCTTTTTCTAGCACCATGAACGATTTATGTATGTGAAATTTACATACTAATAGAATAAAGCCTATAATAAAAACAAACCATCATCTTTTAAAGCGATCCTTAACATAACCCAAAATCATGTTTTCAAGAAAAGGAGCTCACTTTATTTTGATGGTCCGTTTGTTGAGTTTAAGTTACATTGCATCTACATGCCAACTAATTCTCACTAGATTATAAGTAGACTTTTGTTAGTGGGTTAGTGTAAGTTGACATGTACTTGCAAAGTGTCTTATAGTCAGTTAAATGTCTGTTGAAGGAGCAGCATCAGCAGATATTAAGCAGACAGTCTGCTACTCATGATACTCAAAATGGAAAATAAAGTTTTACGAAAGGGAAAATGTTTTAAAAGTATTATGAGTAATAAAAGCTTTAATATTAATCCAAAAGAGTTGAGTATATTGGCAAAACTAGAATAAATTTCAAAGGTCTTTGGTGATCCTCTGACACTGAACAGTATTTTCTCAGGGATGCAGTAGGAAATATGTGCGTTGATCCTATGTTTTGTAGATGGGAAGTGAGATGATTTCCAGTTCATTTAGATGCATTTTTCATAGCCAGATGTGTAAAGCATTTTATGATGAGATGTATTACATTGTTCAGTGTCCGGTTTAAATATTATTTACTACACTGATGAATATGCAGTGTTGTTTTAATTTTGACTCAATAATGTTAGACTCCACCAACAACCATAAAACATGTATTTCATTTTTATCTTTGTTCTGTTGTTATCTGGGCTTTAATTTATTATATTTTGCATAATTTTGTATATTTTATGCAGATGCACTCATCTTCATCTTTATTTCTACAGCGCTTTTACAATGTAGATTGTGTCAAAGCAGCTTCATACAAAAGATTATAGTCAATTGAAACATATTGTAAACTCCAATCAATATATAATTAGGGATTATTTCCAATTAGGGTGATTTTGTGAAATTATATTCATATCTTAATAAATATGGCAATGTCAATGTTTTCCAATATCGAGCTCTGCTCAAATCTGCCAGTAAACTTAATATTATATCATCTAAAGTTGATCACATATATGCAAAGGCTATGTTCTATCACTAGTATCACTGATGTGACTTTAATATGTACAATAAACCGCTTGATTTCAGAAATACTAAAGGTAAGTGTCAAATGTTTTGGTGGAAGTTTAGCATTAGCTGCTACGAAAATCACCCTTCCGGTTGCTAATATACTCAAATGCTGGATCGTTTCAGTAAATACCAGACATAATGCACAAAGCTATTGTTTTGCTGTTTCATTTAATGTATAAATAACACGGTAAATTATTTTAGATGAACGTAAATCCTTACCTTATCAGCAGCAACGGGTCAGTTCCTACACTTCCTGGCTGTGACGTCGCGCGCAAGGGCTTCTGGGAGATGTAGGCGTTAACTTTCTGCGTATACTGTACACACGGAGGCGCTGTCGACACATTTTCTTAATGTTTATTAAACTGCGACTAGTATTCCATAGTTGGCTAATTACTGTAAAATGTGTCGTTTGTAATTTATATTATTGTATTGCTTTTTCTTTTTTTTAAATTTCTGTTAATTAATATAGTACTTTTTAAAGTTTTATTTAATAAAGTGAGGGTTTTATAGGTGGAAAGAGGCCAGTTTAATCCTCTGTGTGACCCAGGGGAGCTAATCAGATTTTACCTGTGCAAACAAATCCTGCTTTGTGATTATGACTCAATGTAATATCCATTGTTCAGTTCACCAATCATACGCAGAGGACTGTGTTAATTCCAGAGATAATCTAAACTGGGAGAAAGTGATAAATAAACACAGACTTTTTTATTTAAGATTCATTAGTCTGATGTACACCCTTATTTGTGTTATCAAGCAAACCTATGAGTGTGTGATGATGTAGTTTTTATGCTGCCTTGTGTTATTTTAAGCATTTGGAATAAGATGTTGTTCATACTAGTGACTCACTCCCCCACAAAGACAACTCACAATGACTAAAACGCTGTATTTTGTTTCATTTTGCCTTAAACTATCATAATTATTTTTAAATAGCATTGTGTGTGTGTGTGTGTGTGTGTGTGTGTATATATTATATATAAATGTATATCAAGGCAAAAACCATTTAGAAATGTAAAAAAAGCAAATAACGCATTTAAAATGTAAGCACAGTGTCTAATTTAATATTTTAAATAATGTTTGTGAAAGTTAAGTCAAAACACGATTGAAATTATGTTCAACAGATTTATTTATCTACAAATTAAAAAGTATGTATAAGTTATATAAACTATAGGTTTTCAAGCATATTATATTTGAGAAAATGTGTGTATATATTTAGGTATAATATATGTGTGTATGTATTTCTATATGTATATATGTATTAATATATGTATTTCATATGTATATATATTATATTTGAGAAAATGTGTATATATTTAGGTATACTATATGTATGTATATGATGTAAATTATCTATGAATGTAAATATCTATGTAACGAAATCGTCATGTATAGTTTCGTTTCCATGTGTGTGTGTTCACTATATATATATATATATCTATATATCTATATATATCTATATATATATAGAACTGGAATCGAAAAATGAATAAAGATTTTTATTTGGATCTGTCTTTTAAGCGAGGTGACTGTATGATTTCAAGTTAATTTAAACCATTTGGCTACAAGAAATTAAAAAATATACAGTTTTAATGGTATATATATATATATATTTTTTTTTTTATATATATATATATATGTGTACACACACAGTACAGATAAACCCCGAAAATCTGACATGACATAATTACTTGCAATCTTGCTGTAACTATATATATATATATATATATATATATATATATATATATATATATATATATATATATATATATATATTTTTTTTTTTTTTTTTTTTTTTGCTATAACAACAGGCCATTACAACAAATAAAAATACAAAACTGATAAAAAACTGATACTTTTTGCAACAAGAAAAATGAAACAATTTTAAAATAAACATTCTAAAGGTAAAGCAAAAGAACAACAAAAAGACAAAGAGAGAGAAAAAGAAACAAAAACAATAAAGAGATAAATAAATCAATGAGGGCACATGACAAAAATAAAACAAACTAATGCAGAATATTAAATAAAGCACATGTTTTATAAGTTTTAATTGCTTTCTTGTTGTAAGAGTCTGATGATTTTTAAATACAGTTCCAATTCTCGTTTAAAAAATAACATTTTGGCTTACATTGAGTATATTAGCAATTGTGTATAAAAAACTTTCCAATAAATAAAATGAGGTTTATGCAGAAAGTTGAATTAAGGAAATGTTTTTCTTTAATATAAAACCCCAAAACAACAACTCTATAGCCTAAAGAAAAACAGTTATTTATTGGACAGTTATATATTTATATATATATATATATATATATATATTATGTCATGTCAGATTTTCGGGCTTTATCCATACTGTAATGCTTTAAAAAAGGGGAACCTCCCACCTACTCACTCGGCCCCGCCCCTCTCCATTGAGTCTTTTTTTTATCTGCGCTCTGATTGGCTGTTTTGAACCGCGAATCCCTCAGTCTCAACTGAACATTCCGAGGCGCGTGGAGGAACAGAACAGATCCAGCTGACGCGCGTCCACGGACACATCCACGCACAAGCGCGCGCACGCAGACCTGCCGCCGCGGAGCGAAACGTGGATCAAACAGAAGAAGAGACAACTACTCACAGACACAACAAACAAACACAACATACTCTGGTGAGTTTATTTATGCTACTTCTGTCAACCACATAACACCAAAACAAGCTGGAGTGGGAAAGTGAGTGAGGGACAACGACGCAGAGAGAGACAGGAATTTGTTTATCTGATTATGTGCTTGTTTTTAAAGAGAATTTCCTTAGAAAAGGAAAATAAAATGTCAACAAAGCTGACTTGAGTGATAAAAGGAGCTCTTTGATGCTTATTTTTAGCAGTCATACTGAAATATGAGGGATGTTACAGAGTTTTCCATGGAAAACGCGAGATGAATCACGAGCTGTTTGACAAATATAACACGTATAGGATTATATAGAGGTACAGCTGGTTTTATATTCAGACATTCTGCACAATAATATAATTTCATAAAAGTATTCTTTACAAATTTTAAATTGGGAAATTATATTAGCAGCCAGTGACTATTAAAGTACAACCATGTTTACAGTCAATTAGATTGTGTTGATGTTGTTTTGAAGTCATACTCGCATGCTAATTCTGATTGAATATTCAAATTAGCGTGGTAAACAATATAGAGACAGTTAAATGAACGAATGTGCGAACATAAAACCAACTTTACCTCAGTTAGAATAATAGTCAATCACTTTTTTAATGTTTTTACTTAAATTAGACTTTATTTAGTAAGATGCTGAGATGTCAGATGAGTAGCAGATGCATATTTAAGTAAAAAGAGTGAGATCATAACAAAAATATCTCCTGTTTGTCACTGCAAAAATTGTTTTTTGTATTGTTTCTAGTCCAAATATTGGGAAATCCTTAAATCAAGAAGCATTTACCGGACAAGCGAAATATATTGTCTTGTTTTGAGCAATAATATGTTAAAATAAAGAGAGTTTTACCTTAAAACAAGCTAAATAATCAGCCAATGTGTTGCTAGATCAGATAAGGCTGTTAACAAAATAAATACTCATTTATTTAATTTCCCATTTATTATATTTTATTAACGTCCACCCCAACCCTATACCCAACATCACAGTAATGTAAAAACAGTAGTTTTGCAGACTATTATTAATGTTATTTATTAAATTACCCAATACATTGTATTTTAGTAATGCCTACCAACCCTAAACCCAACCATCAGACTGTACTGTACTGTATTATTGTTGTAGTGTTACTGAAATGATGCTATATTGATGTGCATATCCACAGCTGTATCCCTTCTAGACTTTGCTCTGCTGATGGGGGTAAACAAAATAATATTGTTTTCGGTTTAATGATATTTAGCTTAACCCATTGACAGATTATTCAGCTTGATTTTAGAGAGAAACTCGCTTATATTTTAGATATAGTTCTGAAAACAATACAAAAACTGTTTGATTTAAGTAAGTAATAAAGGCATTTTTTGCATTTTTTGTAGTATAGACGATGGATGTGATTATTTCAATGCTCATCTGAGCTTTAAACAGATCTATCCTGCAGACATATCTGTTGTGTGCATGTCCAGCAGCAGAAGAGAGCTAAACTGCAGGTGTTTCCTGATGTAAACTACAGCCGTAAAGATTTCAGCGAGTCCTTGAGCTCTGGCAGGGAATTTTGTTTATCACCAAAGACTGTCTTGGTCGCGCTGAACTGCTGTTGACAGGTTGAATGTGTTGGCGAACTATTTTAGGAAGCCGAAGTATTCTTTTGTGCCATGTATAGTGAATAACTTCCATTTACCTGGGTGGATTTGGTCTCAAGCGGCTTCAAATGGTAAATATCATAGCACAATGGTAGTAAACGGGTACATCAGGACACTCTTAAACCGTATCAATCATCAGTGTAGCATTTACTAGTTATTCCTTTACTGTTTTAACTGTTTTGTATTTATATATCGCTGCTTTTTGGTGTCTTGTTGTGTTTGTGTGTGAGCGAATGAGTGAATATCAATGTGTGTGTGTGTGTGTGTGTGTGTGTGTGTCTGTGTGTGTGTGTGTGTGTGTGTGTGTGAGTTGTTGAAAGTGTACATTTAGTGTGTGTGAGTGTGTATGTGAGAGTGTTTGTAAGGGAGTGCGAGTGTGTGCGCGAATAAGTGCATTAGTGAAAGTTTACATTAGTGTGTGTGCAAATGTGAAGGCGTTGTAGTGTGTGCGCACAAGTGAGTGTGCGTGTTTGTGAGTTTGTTTCAGTAAGTGTATAAGTGTGTGTATGTGTGTGTGTGTGCGCGAATGTGAGAGTGTGTGTATGTGACCATTCGTGCGAGTGTGTAAGAGTGAGTGTGTTTGCAAGTGAGTGTTTGTGCAAATGTGTACATGTGTATTTGTGAGTGTGTGCGGAAGTATGCGTTAGTACAAATGTGTGCAACTGTGTATGCGTGTGTGTGTGTGTGTGTGTGTGTTTGCAAGTGAGTGTTTGTGCAAATGTGTATTTGTGAGTGTGTGCGCAAGTATGCGTTAGTACAAATGTGTGCAACTGTGTATGCGTGAGTGTGTGTGTGTGTGTGTTTGCAAGTGAGTGTTTGTGCAAATGTGTATTTGTGAGTGTGTGCGCAAGTATGCGTTAGTACAAATGTGTGCAAGTGTGTATGCGTGAGTGTGTGTGTGTGTTTGCAAGTGAGTGTGTTGTGCAAATGTGTATTTGTGAGTGTGTGCGCAAGTATGCGTTAGTACAAATGTG